CAACTGGCACAAACTGTGTAGCCAACCCATGGCCCTTTAAGGGCTCCGGGGCCGGGAGGGGGGCAATAGAGTTTCCCTGGTGTTGGCCAGAGTGGCGACCAGGGAAAGCTGGGAAGGATTAGCCTCCCACTAGTTCGAATTAAGGGTCTACACAGCCCTTAATTCTAACTAGCTAGTTCGAACTAGGCTTAATCCTTATAAAATGAGGTTTACCTAGTTCAAACTAAGCGCTCCGTTAGTTCGAATTAAGTTCGAACTAACGGAGCGCTAGTGTAGCGCCTAGGAAAGTTAGTTCGAACTAACGTCTGTTAGTTCGAACTAACTTTGTAGTGTAGACATACCCAGAGATAGGAACACAGATGACAACCAACTGTCTCTTGGAAAAAGTCAAGAGTTGTGCATAGGGAAGAAAAAATGAGGAGAGAACTTACCAGGAGGAACTTACCAGGTCTAACTACTTAGTAGCTGCTTAGTGGGAATATCTCTTGCAATTCATAGAGTATGTTTGATTAATCAAAAACTCCTTCTTTTCAGTAGTCTTTTAGACTACAGTATAAATACTCACAATCAAAAGACCCAGACATCTGGAATCAAGATGTCAATCACAGAAACTTTGAATGGGGATGGAAATTCTTGCCTCATTTCAGAAAACAGGACCTTATGGATATCAATACACTGTTATAGGGCTGGCCCTTTAAGGGAGTTACTTGCCCAACCTTCTAGCAACTGGCTCCACTCAAGGCAATGAGTTATCCGCAGTCCAGCTGGGGATGGTTAACTGCCTAAGGTTCTGGAAAGCAGTTAATGAAGTAAGGAACACCTACGCTAATAAAACTATTAGTAGAGCTCAAGCTCTTTGGATAGTTAGCAATGACGTGGCAGATAAGAAAGCAAAAATGGTTTTTAAATGAAGAAACTTGAACATTCCTTTGAGCTGGAATTTAAAAGTTTAGTTTAAAAAAAAAAAAGAATGTAAAAAGAAATGGCAAGAACTATGGACCAGAAGAAAAGAGGAAGACATTCTAAAACATATCCCCCCAAAATAGATGATAATGCCCTATTCCAAAATAACTAAACGATCAGACAAGTACTCATATTTAGACCATTAACTGTCACTGAATAATTATTATAGTTTTCCCAGGAAAGAAAGATTCTCTATGAAGAATTTAGATGCTTTAAGCAGGGATGGCCAAAAGCATGATGGTGGTTCATCAGGTTTAATCCTGGTGGGCCGCTGCCACTATATTTACCTGCATGACTGCAGGTATCAGCAATCAAAGCTCCCATTGGCCATGTTTTTCCATTCCCAGCCAATGGGAGTTGCAGTAAATGGCACAGCCCAAGACACCACTTCCTGCAGCTCCCATTGGCCGGGAAAGGTGATCCATGGCCAACAGGAGCTGTGATTGCTGGTACCTGTGGCCATGCAGATAAATATAGCAGTGGGGGCCCTCCAGGAGCTAACTCTGGTGGATTCGAATGAACCTGTGGGCTCGCGTTTGCCCATCCCTGCTTTAAACTGACAGAATATACTGTGAGAAAAGTATTTCAAAGTGGGAAACAGTCAAAAAGCCTGAATATGTTTTTAAGGATATAGCACTGGATAAGAGAGCATACAGGCATGTTTGTACAATGAATATAGTTAGTGGCAATTACCAGAAGGTGAATCTACTTCACCACATAGCATAAGAAGAGTAAAAAAGGAAGCTCCAGAGAAGGGAGTTCCCAGGAAGCCTGAATTAGGCAAATGCCTTCCAAGTAAGGAAGACTGTAAGAAAGACTCTGAATGACTACAAACCTACTGCTAGAACTTAGAGTCCATTGTTTTGGGACTTTTTCATTTTATCTGCGCTCAGATGTAAGAGCCTTTAAACCTTTGTACAAATAAATGCTCCTTTCAGAAAGTTTTATTAAACGGAGATACTGCAGTAGAGTGTTTGGCTTCTTCTTAACCAATAATTTCATTTGTACATCATTAAGAAGGGGAACTTGAGGTGGGACACAGGAGAGCCACACTCACACTCAAAGGAGTGCCAGGAAGTGATAGCTCTCCTTTTAAACATACCTGTGATACTGAATGAAAGTGTAGTCAGATGTTCACCCCCATTCAAGTGGAAGGGGTTAATGGAGGCCTTTGGAGGCCTTTCACATTCTGTCTCAGAAAAGAGATAGGGAGGTGAATCCTCCTAGCAGCCTAGAAAACCTGTGAAGAAAGAAGCCAACTGGAGGGAGACTTCATGGAGAGGCCAATCAGGGCCTATCAGGTTAATACAAAAGAAGCTGTGGGGCAGAACCGGGTCACTTGCTGCCAGGAACCCGAGGAATGCGAATTGCATTCCTAGCATGCTGCAGCAAGGGTAACACTTGGACAGAGCAGTTGATGGCAGGGACTGGAAAGCAATAAGGAGCTCCTGGCTGGCTGTTGGTGATGCTGACTGAACACCCTGGGAAAAAAGCAAAAAAGGAACTAAGGCCATGGGCAAGTGAAGCAGCATTGAAGAAAGAGGAGACACGGCAACAGGCTGCTATCTACAGAGTCCCTAGGTCAGGACTTGAAGTAGTGGACTGGCTCTGGTCCCTCTCCACATTCACAACTGGGGGAGTGGCTTGACTATTGAACAGTGGTATCAACCCCCAGAATAGGGAAATACAAATGGTGACCTAGCTAAAGGGCCAACTCATGAAGAGGATGATATGGTACTTGGACTGAGGAAGCTCTGAAGATGAAAAAAATTATAGAAGAGGCATCGCCTGGAGAGGGTACACCAGCAAGTAGAGCTAATATCTGTGATAGCCACTGCGGTGAGTGGATCCTGTCATAAAAAGTCTTGCCAATCTCTAAACATGGCTACTGACTGCAATGTGGTCTCGATTAGGCCACCATTTGATGGCCTATGCAATATGCTCTTATAATGCCATCCATCAGAATTTAGACAGATTTGAATTTCACTAAGAAAATCTTTGCAATTCAGAGAAACAGCACTCAGCTTCAATGCCTTTACAAGGAGCCAAATTTCACACTGACTTCACAAGACTGGGAGTGAATAGTTATGAAAAGATCATGGTGTTCAAAATCTAGCAAAATACTCCACTGACCCAGTGCAAGATCCTGTACCTCAGTGATATAGAACTATTAGACAACAGGTTCTTAAAAGTCAGAGATATCAGAACTTCCCGGTGTCTGGATCCCAGATAACCAGAACCCTGGCTTGGCAGTCAAGATGTCTAGCCATCAAAACTGGCTGCAGGTTCTGATCCCATATCCATCTGGACTCAGATCAATATTTGTCAGTCCTGTATTCATGCACAACTTGGCGGGGGGCTTATATTGGTTAGGAGTTATTTGAGGGGGTTGGTACTTGCCAGATTTGGATCCAGGTTTTTCAGCCCCCAATGCAGGCTTGGCTGCCAGATCAGGATCTTTTCTGTGGATACAGATCCTTTGGAAACTGACTTCAGTAGCCAGAATGCCACTTTAAGCATATAACTAGGTTTCATGGGCCAACAAGCAAGGGGCCAGTCTGGGATGCTGCTTCCTGGAGCAGAGATGTGAGTCTATGGAACACTCTTCAGAACAGACACAGGACTTATTCAGTGCCAACTTACTGGACTGGGCATGAGGAGCTCCCCAATCAGTGGGGTGTGAGAGGTGACTGAACTTGCTCCCATAGGTCTTGATAAACCCCATGCCAGATAAACATCTCCTCTTTTTTTTAAAAAGAAAAATTTGACTAAGCAACAGACTACCTCTAAATACATTTTGCCTCAAAAGAGAAAAGAGAAAGAAAATAAATGCTGATGAGGGAAGCATTGAGGACACTGTGTTCAATCTGAGTTTTCTGTATCTATATGGTTAGAAAAGAACCGGGGAACAGTTGGGGCCATTTGCCCTTTTATCTCCTCAGAATTTTTCAAGATGGGAGGGGTTACTGGCCCCAATAAACATTCCTTCCAGAAGGTTCTGGAAGTTCCTGCTGTAAGCTTCTTGGTTCCACAAATGTGAATATCCAGAGGCCACTTAAAAAAGAAAGAAGTATTCTTAGAACAGTATGCATTATGCAGCCGTCACAGATGTGTTACCAAGGGGTGAATTTGAGCTGCATAGAATACAATGGGCATTACACAGGCAGTGCAAAGGACTAACAAACTCTATCAATGTTTCCTATTAGACAAAGACATGTAATTAAGATTATAAGACTGAAACGCAATTTATGACTACTTAAATCAATTCTTTCTGGAAATGTGAAGATCCACCGTCTTGCCAAAATGTCTCCAAAATTCAAGATGTGTTCAGAATCAATACACCAAACTTGTCTGCTTTTATTTTTAAATCTAGTTTTCAGCTATTTAACATAACAAAATATTCCATGTAAATAGCAACAAAATTATAAATGGGTATTTACTTAAAATCTCTCCTAGCAACTTGGAAATATATTTTAACTTGTTTAGCAATGTTATCAGGTAACTTTTAGCATTCAATTAAAATAATTACCTTTATAACTATGTAAATTATTCACACATGAATCTATGACTAAACGGGAAAGGTTCTATTTTTTAAGTTCTACAAGCTATCTTTGAGTTCAGCCATTAAAGAATCTATTTCTTTAAACTTGTCAGTTATGTTCTCAATACACTCTCCAGCCCTGAAAGCTATCCCATCAATAATAATACAGTCCTCTTTGGTGTAGTTTTCCATTGGGCTTCCTTCAGTACTCTCTGTGCTGCATTTAGTTACCTGAAAAGCAAATATGCATTCTCTAGATGCATTACATTAAACTTAAAAACAACATTAAACAATATTGTTACCAAGTTCAGTCAGCAAGTCAATCCATAATCAAAATATATGCAAAACTCTCACCACAAACAATCAAAGTGTGAATATGCCTGGACATTTTTCTGTACAGGCAGTCCCCGACTTACGCGGATCCGACTTACGTCGGATCCGCAGTTACGAACGGGGCTGCCCCGGAGGACACGGACTGCGGGACCTCGCGGTCCTGCCACCCGTGTACTCCGGGGCTTTCTCAGCGTCTCCCTGGTCTGCAGACCAGGAAGACGCGGAGCAAAGCCGCGGGGGGGCTCGGGCAGCGAGGCAGCCCAGGCATGCCTGGGCTGCTCCGCTGCCGGCTTCCCCGAGGCTTTGCAAAGCCGCGGGGGGGCTCGGGCAGCGAGGCACCCCAGGCGTGCCTGGACTGCTCCCCCAGCTTCCCCCAGCTTTGCAAAGCCGCCGCGCGGGGGGGGGGGGGCCCCGGGAGCGGGGCTGCCCCG